CAGAAAGTCCCATTACTTTGATACTATACATATTGTTCATTTTCTAATGATATCTTCTGTTCTTTGATTGAAATGTGCCTTGCTAACAGCAGAGCTATCTCAGCTGACAGGCTGCTTGTTTCTAATAAGTAAGCACCTCTTGTCTCCTTTTTCAAAAGCATCATTGAGAGAATTCTGCTGACAAGCCAACGTTTCCCGGCGTTTTGTTCGCAGGAAAAGACATTACCGCATTATAAGATGCCTTTACATATATCTGACACTTCACCAGTTTTGAAATATTCAGATTTTGAAGAGAACTGTTTTGTGCATTTTTTATTTCATTCAATTTGGATGAATATAGTTGTTCATAAAAGGTCTTGATTTCTTTAGTAATATTTATTACCTTTTGGTTTTCGAGTACAATTTTATTTATTTGAGACTTTTTTTATTATCGTTTTACTCTTTGTAGAAAATACTTGTTTTTCTCTCCTAGTTTGTACCAATTGCATCGTCATCTCACTATACATCCCTCTGTGTTAATAGTATACTCGGTCGGGTTAAATATTAAATTTATTTTCCTCGCCACAAAAAAACGTAATACAATTATTTTGGCCTGACAGTTCATGTTCTTTTCATATTTTCTTGTTCTTTTTCAGTCACTGTAAAATGACATTGTCCTCTGTAAAATGTTATGTAATTACAATGAGTATACCTTGAGGCCGGAGGCCTACGGTATTATGAATAAATTTATTATATTCATAATATTTAATATTTTTACCACCTCGTGTGCAGCTTCTTAACCAATATAAAATTACACAATTCGTGTAACACGACTGGAAATCACGAATTAAAGCGTCGAACTCTTCCTTCGCATCCGTAGCGCCAGGTTTCCTTCTCAGTTGAACTTCAGAATTTGGTGTTAAACGCCGTGTTCGGCTATGGTAGTACATTGATCGCCAGATTTCAGGGTCATGCCAAGCCTAGATCGCCTTTGTTGGCAAGATCTCCACAAACAGCAACAACCCCAGAACCACGCTATCTCGTTTCTTGTAATAAAATCCATAAACCGCGTGACATACTCTTTCTACATCTGTTGAAGTCGGGTTCACACACATCGTTTAATTCTTTTTCTAATTGAGCTATTTCAGACCTGGGATTTTTAGCCTTCTCTTTTCTATATTTAATAGAAGTTAGCTTAATTTTGACCCAATCCACTTCAACCAATTCACAGGAGTTTGGATCGCGTAGTAGACTAGTATTAGTTTTCCAGTACGATGGTCCCCTTTCAATTTTCTTCCCATGGGCATTCCAATATTATAGCAGAATGGTCTGATATTGAACAGAGAAGAATGTAAACATTCTGTGTATTTATTTGTAAGTCATCTCTAATTAAAAAGTAATCAATCCTACTTTGTTTATATCGTTTCGATGTGAATTCAGCATTATCTGGATGTATTACTCCCCAAATATCAATTAATTCATAGATTTCCATGGTTTCATTCAAGATCACCTCCCCATATGATCTGGGAATCTACGTTGTATCCAGTCATATGCGTTCATCGTTTGGGGCATATGTGATTATCAAGGCTGTTTTTCTTTCTGCCACATGGGCATCTACAAATAAATCAACAGCCTCATTATGCACATCGGGACAGACATTCCTAAAAATGATAATAACCCCTCTACTACCAATGAGAAAAATATATATCGCCCTTAAACTGCTATTCCAAAAACGTGGCACATCAACTATTACTATGAGTCTCCTGTAACATTATAATGTTCGATTGTCCTTACCAATTCCCCCTCACAATTAAAGACAGTATTTTCATATTGGACTGCATTTTTGTAGCAATTTAACTTTCAAATTTATATGTAAACCAGGTTCTATTTCTTTTTTGAACGTCAACATTTTCTGAATAAGATAACCAGTAACAATTAAAACCGAAAAAAAGACAGAGGGAATAGCTATGAATTTTAATCAACAAGACGAAATCCACCCACGAGACGAATTGGTAAACTCATCAGACTTGCACATTTGGACACTTCTCATTTTGGTCAAAAACAAGAACAATACAAATGTGTTTTTGTTATTTAAACAGGTTTATTGTGGTCGTTCTATTCCAACTGGTACGCTATCTATGCTTTTATCACACAAGTAATATAAACGCGTCTATTCATAACTTTAATGCACAAACTACTCATGTGGATATTTCAATCACATATGGAACGTTGCCAAGTTTACTCCAGGTGTTATAAATAGAAACGGTATAACTCTCATACATCTTATTTTAGCCCCTTTTCGGATTCACACTGTAAAAGATCCTCAAGTCATGTATTCAGTATATATGCTATTGTAGTTATTTCTGGATATCAGATTTGTTTAGCAGCTTTTTCCTGTACATACAGTCAAATAAATATCCTCTGTGCATCAAACGATATGCCATAAACTGTGAATCAATGACTTGTATGGACGGTTTGACCTTGGTCATTTCACGTTTAGCTTGGTCGTCTTCGGTATCACAAAATAAAAGTAACTATGCATACAAGTATCGGGTCAGCCTCAGAACTACAGAAACCCGGTTTCATACACTAAAACAGAGTCAAAACATGTGTAGCCCTTGTGATGATAAAATAATATATTTTATTTGTTTGGTTACATAACTTAATTAACCTTTGTTCTATCATTTACAATAGCCATTGTCGTATATGACTCTATATGAACATATTCGCCTGCATTGATGCCCAATCCTAACAATGTATAGAGTCAATTAAGCACGTGAACATGTCACTAATAACGCATAACTCAATACTGCATTGTCTTCACGTGACTCGCAGCATGAATTGACTCTAATTATCACTAATTATCAACATGAGTTTTGGTATTAGCAGACTTCAGTGTTCAGTGGAAATGTAACCGGTTAGTGACAGTCACGCCTACTAATTCACAAACAAACGTGTGTCTCTCAAGTTTCAACTCTGTGGTTAGTGGTGAATAAAACATTGTAACCAATTTAAATCTTCTGTTATGCTTTGATTAAAACTATCTCACATATGATATGAGTACTTATCTCACATATGATGAGTACTTTCCTCACATATGACGAGTACTTTATGGCCAAATTTTAGCTGTATGTTTAATCAAAATATGCAAATTTCTGAACACAGCCTCATATTCACGAATACCACGGAAATGTCAAATACATCGACATTAAAATGACATTACAAGTATTTCCAATTAAACCTAATTTTGTGGTTCATAGTAATACAAATTACATAAAAAAATATAAATTAAATTATACAATAATACAGTCTAGGTTTTTCATGTCACAACACCTGATCATATGCTTGATCATTACTGTTCATAATAGATGGTATCGGATCATATTTTCAGGTTCTTTGCACCATATTGGTTAGGTGGTGTACAGGTATCCCCTGCCAATGAACATCGTGTTGTAACAGAAGAGCAATGGCGACCATGGTGGGAACGCTACCAGCCTGTAAGTTATTCAGTGGTTAGTAGAAGTGGTGATCGAGCTGAATTCATTGATATGGTAAATCGATGCAACGCTGTAAACATCAATATTTATGTAGATGTTATATTCAATCACATGTGCGGAGATCACAGTAAGTTTGTTAATTTTTCGTGTCAATTTGTAACATTTATTAAATGATATGCAATAGTATTTAAAACATGCAAATAAAGACATAGTTTATGTGAAAACATGATGAATATACATAACAGTTTGTCAGTGGTTTATTCCTTCATTTTCAGTAAGTGGGTATGGTATCGATGGTAATTGGTATGATACGACCAACGATGCCCGCGATTTCCCAGCCGTGCCCTACTCTGAGTGGGATTTCAATGATGATATTTGCGACAAAAATATTGAGAATTATAATGATGAATGGGAAGTTCGCAACTGTCGATTAGTGGGTCTAGTTGATCTAAAACTCAGTAAAACGTATGTGCGCGATAAAGTAGTGGAATTCCTAAATGATCTGATTTCTCTTGGAGTCGCTGGTTTCCGTGTAGATGCGTGTAAACACATGTATCCCGAGGATTTAGAAGTCATTTATGGGCAATTGAACGACCTTGTCACACCGACATTCCCTTCTGGCAGTCGACCGTTTATTGTTCAAGAGGTGATAGATTACGGCGGTGAAGCAATTTCAGCAACAGAATACACTCACTTAGGTCGTGTGACTGAATTCAAATATGGTCAAGAGCTGTCAAACTGTTTCAGGGGCAATAATGATCTAAAATGGTTAGTCAGCTGGGGAGAACCTTGGGGACTTTTACCAAGAGGTGTCGCACTTTCTTTCATCGATAATCA